TATAGTTCCAATTCATGTTCTGCTTAAAAAATATTTCCTTGGCTTAAATTGTATATTTGTAAATAAAAATGGAAAAAAAATCATCTCCTTGTTCAGTCATTTGCACTTTTGTGAGGAAATAAATGAAAATATTATCTATAATTTCTTACAATAAAGAGATATATTATGTTTCTAGTATGTTAATAAGTTTTAAAGTGCCAAAAATATATTGAGACATTGTTGTGAAATAAGAAACTAAAGTAAAAATAATAATAATGAAATTATTTTAGAAATTATTTTAGGTTTTTCTCCATTTGGAAATTGTGTCCTAAATGCTGTAAAAGCATATGCTGTGTGCACTGAAGTGACAGACAGCTGTGTGAAAGTAAAATTTAAACAGCGTAGTTATTCCTGTTGTTTATTCCCCTCACATTTTTTGTTTTAAATTTTAAAAATCATCTTTTGGCAGAGATAGTGCATTATTGCTGCCATTCAAGCTATCCACACGCAACCCTCTTTTTTTTAATTTGTAAATTTTTTCTTTCTTTCCCCATCCCTCAAAAAACCACATTTCTCCCTTTACACAATGAGTAAAACCAGAAACATTTTGGAGCATGTTATTAGAAACTCTCCTTTCCTTAAGGCAGTAGAGGTTTAATTCCCTGGGCTGTAGGGTCGTCCTTCCAGCCTTCCTGCTGCCGGTGAAGTGATGATTGCACCTTTGGGGACCGAGTTGCCCTGCTCACCACATGTGACCTGCCCCCTCCTCTGCTCCCAGTGCTGTGCAGTGAATCTGATCACCAGCTAATCCGTTTGGTGATGAGGATAATATATGGGGAGAGAGTTTGCTTTCAGGAAGGTTTTTTTTTTGTTCCAGGTTGGTTTTCTGCATGAGCACAGGAGGGAGCAGGTGGGGGCCAGCTGATGGGGCACTGCTGCCAGAGGAACACATGTGTCACTGCAGCCAAAGTGTTGACATCTTCTGATCTCTGGAGGCATCCCAGCATCCAGCCGAGAGCCTGAGAAAGCAACCAGAGTTGACTGTAATTATTAGCAGTGGAGTGGACTTATTTAAGGTGTTTACAGAAGGAAAGGGATGGGGATGTGTAAGGTTGAACTGTCCAGGCTTATAAAAATCACTGTTGTGAAAAAAAAAAAAGGGTTGAGAAAATTTAGTGGGAACATTGCCACAGAAAGGTATCTTATTGCTGTTTAAAAAAAAAAACAAAACCCACTAATTTTCAACCTGAAAAGTTGAGGGAGAAATGCTGATGAATTTTAAATTTGTATAAGAAAATTAGAAATGCACCTAAATTCTACTAATTAAATAAGATGTCGAGTTTAAATTTTTCTGGTCCCATTCAGGTTCTAGAAGATCCACTAAAATTTCTTTTCATATTTATTAAACATTTGATTTCTTTCATAAGACAAAAGATATTTAAGACTAATTATTAATTTACCTATGATTGTTTTTGTAACTGCGTAGACTTTGCTGTTGACTTTATTTAAAATAGAGATGATCTAATTTCATTACCTGAAAAAAATTTAATAGAATCATGTTCCTATCAAATTAAAAATAACCTTGAAGTCAGAGAGATTTATTTAAGGTTATAATTTTAAATGCCTGAAATGCCATAAATAAGGGTTTTTTTTCACAGCCTTATATTTCTTTTAAGCAAGTATTTATAGAGGGCAGTTCTTCTTGAAGCCCAGAGTTACTTTCACAAAAGGAGGAGAACTTCCTGGTGGTGACCTCTCTTAAATGAGCAATTCAGGGTTATCAAATCAGACAGCAAGGGACTAGAGGAACCAAGGATCGCACAGAGTACAGCCATTACCCATTAGTATAACTCCACATTAATTTTAAATTGAATTTTTAAAACCTAATTGAGCAGCATTTTCAAGCTCTGTTCAGTGTGAGTAGGACATAAATTGAAACAGTATGTACCAGGAGCCCTTAATAAGCAGAGAGCACTGCTGCCTTTCTTCCCTCTCCTTTAAAATCAGTAGTAATGCCTTGACATTAAAAAGAAGAATTTAATTAAGAGATCATGGCAGTGCATCTGAACTCTGACTGGCTAATGGCTTACCAGTGTAAGGGATATGTGCCAAAAATGAATGCAGGGTATTTTCTTTAGCATTCATTTTTAGGTGAGAACTCTCTTCTGTTTGAACTTTTCATCATTTTAATGATGGAAAAATATTTTAATGGATAAGCTGTACATGAAGAAAGACTTTGAAAATGTAATTGTGCAGTTGGATTCCCAAGAAACAAGTTCTAATACAGAGAAATTTGAGCAACAGCTCCAAGCCTTATAAGATAACGTGGTAGGAAATCACTGATGTAAATAGAAAAGAAAATCAGAGGCGTAGTTGGTTTAGAACTGTAAAGCTTATTAAATTTTATTTTGATTAATTTCTCTGAAAGTGCATTAATATTTCATTTTAAGTAGGAGCCCAGTTCACTTTGTTTCTCAACATGAAGTGTGCAGATGAGCTTAAGTAAGCAAGTTCTGAGCTTCAGAGTGTAAATTATTTTACACAGCAAGCTTGGATGTGCTTCTCTGCTGCAGACTGAGTACCTGGCATTCCAGTTTAAAGCACTGGACTTACTGAAAGGTAGTCCATCATTTTATAAAATTCTGATATTTATTTTCACTTCGTAGCAAAGCAAGAATGACTGCATTACACAAGTTACTTGTATGTATTGACGATTATATGGCAAGTTTGTGTTTAGTAGGGGAGCTTGACCTCCCTTTGCTGGCTGGCTATGGTGTGGCGAGGCAATGCAGGCACTGATGAGCATGGGAGGAATAAAGTACTATGAGGTTTGTTTATTTTGGTTGCTTCAAGGCACTAGACCCAAGGTTTATATTGAGCTATCATTCCAGACAACCTTTGGTTGAAACTGAGATGGTGGGGAAAGTAGCTTGAAATCTGCTTTCAGATTTAACTTTTCCTATCAGCAGAAGCCAGCTAGCCGGAGGGGAGGGTGCACCTCCCACAAAATAATTTTACTGCTGTTTAAGCAGCACCAAAATAAAGCCTTTCGCATCCTCCCTCATTTGTGTGACATAGGAATTTAATAATGTCATTGCTCCTTGAAGTTCAATAAAGCCTTTTACTCCATAGGAGTCTTTGCGGGCATCAATAAGCTTCCTTGATTCTCCTTAATCAGAGGCAGATTCTCAGAGCTGAGGAGGGAGTCTGTCTCTGTCACGGAGTGACTCAGCTGCGCTGTGGTTGATCCAGGTTTCCAAGTGCCCAACATCCATTGCTTTTGTCCTGGGAACACCCTGTCAGAGAGCATCCTTGTGATAAGCAGGCTTGTGGTGGTTACGGAATGGTGACTGTTTAGGGAGAAGAAGTAAGAGCAACTTTTGGAAGTGTCTCGTATGCCATTTTCTTTTGGAGATCTGGTTTCACCCTTGGTATCTCACTGTTCTTTCTGTCCCAGTCCTGCTGACAGCACTTACCCCTGGGGAGTAACTCCCTGTTGTTGCTGGGGTAACAGCAGAAACGGTGGTTGGGTGGGAGGAAAATCAATGGTGTCTTTGTGAAGTGAGTCACACCATTAAACCTGCTGTTGCTAAAAGTGATGGCGTGATCTTTGTAGTGACTGAAATCTTCCTGATTGGTATAAATGAAATTAGTCTATTTAAACATGTTAGTAGTTAAAATGAATACTTGTTTCAGTGAGTTTGAAGCTGTGCTGAACCCCTGGCTAATCTACCACAAAACTGTTTAGAGTGACTAACCCATGCTAAGATGACAAGGGGTAGATGTAAAATGAAGTGTCTGAGTGTTATGAAGAGCTCCTGCTTGTGACAGGAGTTTGGCTGATATACACATGCAGCATTAACTTTTTCTCCCCTATGTGTTTTGCCACAGGCTTTCAGGTTATTAAATTCTGTGGCTTAGCAGTAGCAATTCTGGTGTTAGAAAGCTTGCAGTTTAAGACCTCAATGAAGTTTCTCATTCCAGGGGTTGATTAGAGCTAAAAATGTCCACAGAGGTCATGTTTTGCTACATATCAAGCAGAATGGGTGGTTACAAGCAAATGCTGACATCTTTCTAGGGACTGAGAAACTGAGTGCTCAGAAACTGTATCCTGGTCAGGGAATAATGTGTGGTTGATCTATGGGAGAGAGCAGTGTCATCATTTGTTCACTTGGTGCATGTTTCTGGGGTTTTTTTTTTAATGCTGACTTTTGGTGGAGGGTCTGTTTTTCAACTGAAATAAAAATTGAACATTTTAATGTGAATGGTAATAAGGAAAAGGGATCCCACAAGAGCTCAAACTGTTTCTACCTTACTGACCTCTCACCTTGCCCCACAGCTCCAGACATTAAATTTTTCAGTGATTTGTGGTAGCTATGATTTTTTAAGAACTTTAAGCTCCTTCCTTTAAATGAGATCTACATTATTCCTCTTTTAGTGGCTTCCTGCTCTCCACTTTTTATTTCACCTAGCTTTAGATGGATAGGTGATGCTTAGTATAACAAAGGTACAATTTTAGAAGGTACTGAACTTGGACAGATAAAAGGGAGCATTAAAAAGGAAACATTGCTTGGTTGCTGAAAAAGAGCTGTTGAAAACCTGTGAAATCCCCACCTGTTCCAGGTTTGTTTAAATATTTCTTACAGTACACTCAGTGTATCTGTTATAAATCTGCTTAAAGGTGAATGAATTTTCTAAGGGCTACAGCTGCTACTGCTGGGCTCACCTAGGATGATTCCAGCTATAAGGCAATGACAGTTGAGGATCCTGTGGTCATGTTTTGTGCCAGTGCAAATTTCTGATTGGGCTTTTCACCCCCAAACTTGATTCTGAAATGCTTTTGAGTACTGCTTGTTTCTTGATGGGACCTCAGCATTGAGCTCTTCTACTGTGGAAATGCAGCACAGGTGAATGCATTTGGGTTGGGGTTTTGTTTTGTGCGCATTCTTTGCACAATGGTAATGATAAATATCTTTTATATTCTTATGAGATAACTCTGCTTTGGTTACTCTTATTTTCAGAGAAGAAATGGGGAAGATATTCCAGTTGCTCAGACTAAAAATATCAATCATAGAAGATTTGCTGCTACCTTTAAGTTGCAAGAGGTGACAAAAACCGACCAGGATTTATACCGCTGTGTAACTCAATCAGAGAGAGGTTCTGGAGTATCAAATTTTGCTCAACTTATTGTTCGAGGTAAAGTTTTAATTGCTTTCATTTTATCCAGTTATATGTTCTTAATACCAGTGCTTTCTACTTATTCTTTTTATTTAGCCTACATATGTCTTGGTCTGAAATGATCCTACAAAAATAGCCCTGTGAAATTGTTATAAAATGAAAGATTGTTTTGCAAAACTTCCTACAGTTGCTTTACCCTGATCCTACATTGTGTGTAATGTGCTTGCTTGCTTTTCTGTGGATACTCTTTGTTGAACTTAAGGTGCAAACTGCTTAACTTTTCACAAATAGTTTTACAGGTAAGAGATTCCACTGCACTTAGTTTCCATTCCCTTTTAAAATGTGTTGCCTTAAGTAGACTGGTAAAAGAGCAAATAATACAGTGTTCTGTTACCTGGGAGACAGATATATAAAGAGAGTTGTAAACTTTCACCTACCCAAGGACTGGGAGCCCTATGGAGATGTTCTGTGATGATTTGCATCTTAGAAGTAAGAGGAAGAAAACAAAAGACGTGCTTTTTCCATTTGAAATACTTTCTTTCGGTTGCAATTCATTCAGAAGCCTGCTGGGGTGCAGCCATGGCTGTGTGTGGTGCAGTTGGGTCAGTGATTATTTTATTTGTGCATTTTGTGTTCTGGAAGCATGCAGTCTTGACTGGCAAAGGGTGTGGTTGAATGTAGGAGTTCAGTTTTCACTTCCAAAGTGTGTACTATGTACTCTGGGATAAGATATTGAACCCCTCCTTGCCTAATTGTGTTACATGCAAAATTGCACATTTCATTCTTAGTCACGATGAGACTTCATGGCTTTTTAACTGGGAAAAAGAAGTGGTGTACAAAATCTGTGTGTGGTGCTGTTGCCTGGTGGAGGGGCTGTTTTGGCCAGAGAAGTGCAAGGGTCAGACACACAATGGGCTCTTGCTTGACTCATTGGTCAAGCCAGTGGGCTGTTTGGTCAGTTTGGCATCTTGGAGTCACACACTGCATCTGGAGCCTGGACAGGGAAAGCAAGTTTGTCCTCAGCTTGTAGAAATAAAAGTCACACAGAAAATTCTCTGACATATTTGGTATCTGGCATTTGCTGGCAGAGGTCTTTTCCCTGGGAGACTAGTTGATTGAGGTCAACTAGGTTTTATGCCTTCTATATAGCATCAATAAAAATGGACTTTGCTGACCATACAAAGATTCAGACAATATGTTAAAAGCTTTGTTCTATTCTGTTAGATGTACATTTTGTATAGCAAACTTCAAGATAGTCTTCATCCTCATAAAATAAGGCCTGTTGCAGCATGAAAGCAGACTTTTGTTGTTAGAAAGCCAGGGCAAATCAGTGCATTTGTCCAATAAATGAAGTTTCCTATTTTTCTCATACAACAGAGCAATTAATGGTGTTTAGAACACTATTTCTTTCAAAAAAGTGAGGTAAGAATATAGAATTTCATAGTATCCT